GAGAGAGAGAGAGAGAGAGAGAGAGAGAGAGAAAGAAAAGAGAGAGAGAGGAGGAAGGAGGAAGGAACGAGAGAGGGAAACAGAGGGAACGAGGAGGAGCCGGAAGAAAAAAAGGAGAGAGAGACGTGCGTAACGTAAACCGGCGCGTTACAGTGACACGACGAGCCGACGAAGCACCAAGTACGGGCTGCTGTTCCCGAGCCTGGTTAGGACTAGCATGCGGGGGGAAGGCTCCCGCTTTGCCCGCCGTTATTCTTTATCGGAGCATGAGACATCTGTCGTAATAAGTGCGGACTAAAAAATAGTGCGTACGCAGAGAGAGAGAGAGCGTGAGAGTCGAAGGCGCGCGAGAACGAGAGAGCCGGCCACCGGGGCGCCATGGTGGGAGAGGTTGATGCTTGCGGCCGCGGCGGCTGTTTCTCTCCCCGTGTACCCCGCAATCTTGGTCTCTTCCCTCTGCCGCCGCTCTTTCGCTCGCCCTCGCTCCCTCGCTCTCCTACTCTCTCTCTCTCTCTCTCTCTCTCGCTCTCTCCGTCTCTCTTTCTCTCTCCCGCCACGGCGCGCTCTCTACCCCGCCGTAATCAGTTCATGAGACGAAAATGCGCGTAGCCGCCGCGAGCCGAGTCTGGCCGCGCGAGCTGTAAAAATGTTGGTTGCGCTCGCGGAGAGAAGCGACGACCGATACGTACGCCGGATCCTCCGTCCGGGCGCCCGAAAGAGCAGTTTCTTTATCAATTGAGATTGAATTCACCGGGATTTAATTTTGCGCGGGCGCCGAGGACCGTCCGTCGCGCGCGGACGTTTCCCCGGGATCTTTCCGATTCCGCACGCGTATCGGAGATCGATCCTCGGGTCTTGATATATTACCCGCGACGCGACGCGAGGGAGGAGACGGATGGGGCTCGCGGGCTGAATCCAAGCGGCGCGTCACGAGGCGATCTCGCCGGCGGATGCGACTGCTCCGAAACAAGAGGAACGAAACCGTAAAATGGTTCCTGCATGTTTCGACTGAGATCGATAAACGGGATCCGCTCCGCCGTTTCCCCGATAATTATGTACCCCCTCGTTCGTTAACATTAACGAAGCAAAAACGCGTTGACTCGCTCGCTCGCTCGCTCGCGGATGCGCGCGAGTACGTATCCTTGCCGCGGCACGCGCGCTCCGTCCTGCTCCTGCTAAACTCGACAGTAGCACCCAGAGCTATTACCCCCCTCTCTCCTTCTTTCTCTTTCTGCCGCGAGCCGTGCACCACCGTAGGCGACCCCACTCGATTCGCCCCTCAAAAAATCATTACGCCCTTCCACGGGCTGCGCATGAACGCGGTTTTAATTCGCTACTAGAAAAGTAAAATGTAAACGGTGGTGGGCTCGAGGGCCCGTCAAGGGGCGGGTGGTGGCTGGTGGCGGGCTTCGGGAGGATGAGAAAAAGGCGGATAGAGAGCGCGAGAGAGTCGCGGGGGTGCGCGGGGGACGCCGGCACCGCGGGCTGGCGGAGGCGGCGGCGACGGCACGAGGGGGGTCGGTTGGGTGGCCGGGTGGGTGGCCGGACGACGGGGTGGGAGACGAAGTTTCGCGGACGTGGTCGAGGACGAGGCGAGCGAGTGTACGAGGAATGAAGCGACTGCGAGAGCGCGACGTAGGACAGATCCTTTTTCCTCCGACTAGCGACTAGCAGGAGGAGGAATATGACGGGCGGGAGAGGATGGGGCGCGGTAGAGAGATGGAGGGGTTGGAGGTGGAGGCGAGAGGAGGATATACTGCGCCCCTACTTCTCTAGGGGTTCCATTGTAATATTTATTGATTGGATTCCTAGGAGCCCAGGCTGTGAGGGCTGTGGCACCTATGCTTGGACTAGATTGCGTACGAACGCGAGCGACGTTCCTCGACGATCGAGCCGACACTTTTTCCGCCACGCTTTTTTCCTGAGTCTCGCTCGCCTGTTTTTTTTTCCGCGCGTTACCTATCGACGTTCTCCCGCGTCTCTCTCTCCCTCAATCTCTCTCTCTCTCTCTCGCTCTCTGCGATCCACGTGGTCGCAGATCTGCGTAAATGCTCCTGTAGCACATTCCGCACGTGTCCTCGCGCAATTGCGCGCAAAAAATCGCAAGAGGCGAGTCAATTACAGCGCGGAGCAGCATTGAGAAATTTCCAACGTAAATGAAGCAATCGTCGCGGAGGACGACACAGATCGCTCCGCGAAAATCGCGTCTATGAATGATTGACGAGAATGAATGACTCGGGGGGGAGTAAGCGGTTTAGATCGGCGTATATTAACACTGGTCGTGAATTGTGGCTTGCAGTCGCAACTGGGAGAAATGAAATTGTGTTAACAATTAACTCAAAGCGACACGTAGGAGAGTCGCGATCGCGAGAGCTACAGCTCCAAGTTTGGCCGTCCGTGTTTTCGCAATAAAATATTTACGCGGATTTTGCCGAAACGAGTTTCGCGAGAAGAATTTAACTTCGTCCCCCGTTCCGTCCGCGAAAAGCCACCGCGGCGCGTAGACCGCGACGCGGAATCGACGACCCGTTTCTCGGCGACGCGCGACTTCGCCGGGCACGACGTCGCGCATATTGGGAACGCGAACCCCGCCAGGGTCGTGACGTTCGTATTCCGCGACGATGAGGCCGCGTAACCACGTATGCACACGTAGGACGTGGCAGAAACGACGGAACTTACTTTCACTGGCCTTCCGTACGCGCATTCGACGGTTTCGCGTATACATAGGACGACTAGTCCGATCACGTGACGCTGCGCCTCGCTTACAGGCTCGCGTCTGCATCAACGAGAAGCAGCAGGTGTCCAAAAGTAGAGGTGACCACATCAGCGAGAAGGAGAAAGAGAGTGTCGCGTGTGTACGTGTGTGCGTACGAGAGGGAGAGAAAGAGAGAGAGAGAGAGAGGAGGGGGGGAGGGGGAGGGAGGAGAAGAAGAAGAAGACGAAGGTGGAGAACGGTGCGCGCGCGAACGGTGCGGAACTGGTAATCCTTGATCTTACGTGACGTAATAAATCCTCGCCGAATACGGGAGTTGCGTTAAATGCAGAATATCTCACGGACTCGTGAGGCGAGCCACGAAGAACACGATCGCTGCGAGGATTTACAGCCGCGCGTAATTGATTTTAATGAACGCTTCTCGCAGATTTGGCGAATTCTCAAGGATGTTCTCAAAAGTGAACGCATATATATATATATATATATATATATATATATGTGTGTGTGTATATATTTTATATATACGTAGAGAGAGTTTTTCTCGTGGAATAAAGGAACAGCTGTTGCACGTGCAAGTTTACGAATTGTTAATACAACCGTGCGTAATTGATTTCGAATGTCTCACATTGAAACGGAGCCGGGGAGTAAAGAATAGAATTATACAATACATGTCTTACGTTTCTCCTTGAGTCTAACGCCACCTCGAGCGGACTCTTCGATTCCCGTTCAATTCGAAAAATTTA